CCTACAATTACGTGAGAAACTTCCTAACCAACAGGAAAACAAGACTCAGCTTAGGAGGCCTTACATCTAATCTCCAAGAATTGGGCTGCAGAGGCACATCACAGGGCTCTATAATATCACCAATGTTCTTTAATCAAATTATGATTGGACTACCAAAGGAGCTAGATAAAATCCCAGGAATATATCACTCTGCATACGTGGATGAAATCGCAATATGGGTCAGTGACGGGAGCGACGGCTACATAGAACAGAGACTCCAAGAAACAATAGGAACAGTTGAGCGATACCTGGAAGGCACAGGACTCGCATGCTCCCTGGAGAAATCTGAACTACTTCTCTACAGGCCAGCAATCAGAGGCAAACCACCCAAGTTAGAGGAAAACAAGGGGCAATATGAGGAAATTAGGATTCATACACAGGAGGGCACAACTATACTGATCGTCCAAAAAATATGGGTACTGGGATTAGTCATTGAGGCTAACGGCACCAACGGCGACACTATACGCAGACTGAATGCCAAAGTCACAAAAGCGATGAGACTCATTCGTAGGGTCACAAATAAACACCGAGGCATGAAAGGAGCCCACGTAATTAGTCTAATCCAGGCCTTCGTCAAAAGCCACATAACGTATTGCCGCGGGTTATAAATTACAGGGAGTTTATTTGAAAACACGGACAGTGGAACTCGTAGAGACGCTCTCAAAAGAAGGCCGCCAAGAGTGTCGTCATCTTCCCTGGCCTGCGCTGCGCCTCTCGAGCGAATCTGCGTTCTTCATTGTCGTCGCTATCTCGCCGCTAAATCCAGCTATGCACGTGGCATTACCCTCCCGCCAGAGTGAGCGTCCTCCCGATGCTCAACAGGTAGAGATGCGACCAGCGGGTGTTTACATCACTGAGAGTGGTAAAGTTTCATGTGGACCATGTGCACTGTCTCAGGCAGAAGCTGGCGACGTTACAAACAGGGGGAGGCGTCAGGCACGACTTCGTACGTCCCGTCGCTAAGACTGCGCAAAACCTTGATTAATATGTGGGGTTTAACGTCCCAAAACCACTATATGATTATGAGAGACGCCGTAGTGGAGGGCTCCAGAAATTTAGACCACCTGGGGTTCTTTAACGTGCACCCAAATTTGAGCACACGGGCCTACAACATTTCCGCCTCCATCGGAAATGCAGCCGCCGCAGCCGGGATTCGAACCCGCGCCCTGCGGGTCAGCAGCCGAGTACCTTAGCCACTAGACCACCGCGGCGGGGCGGCGCAAAACCTTGTAGGGTCTGAAGTAGCGCCGTAGGAGTTTCTCTGAGAGGCCTCGCCGTCGTACAGGAAACCAAACCCAGACTCTATCTCCTAGTTGATAAGTGACGAATCAATGGCGAAGGTTGTACCGTTGGGCGTCAAGTTGCTGCTGGTTCATTATTCCGACGTGGGCAAGCTGCCTTGCTTCCTCGGCACACTCAGTGAAGTCTGCGGCGTCTGTCTCTGAATCATTGCAATCGTAAGGCAGCATGGCGTCAAGCATTGTAGTAACTTCTCTGCCATGAATTAGTGCGAACAGCATCATTTTTGTTGTTTCCTGGCACGCCGTAATATGCGCGAATGTGATGTACGGCAATATTCGGTCCCAATTCTTGTGTTGCACGTCGACGTACATGCAAAGCATGTCAGGGATTGTCTTAAGACGTTGTGTAAGCCCATTCGTTTGTGGGTGGTAAGCTGTCGCCTTCCTATGCGCTGTGCCACTGAGCGAAAGCACAGTGAGCAAAAGCTTGGCTGTAAACGCAGTACCTTTGTCTGTTATGACGACAGCTGGAGCACCATGTCTCAGGACAATGTTTTCAATCAAGAACTGGGCCGCTTCAGCTGCAGTGCCACTCGCAATTGCCTTGGTCTCCACGTATCTGGTGAGGTAGTCTGTCGCCACTATGACCCATTTGTTGCTGCTGTCTGATGCTAAGAGTGGGCCCAGCAGATCCATTCCGATTTGGAGAAACGGAGTTTCTGGCACGGGCACAGGATGTAATAGCCCAGCGGGTTTGACAGGTGGTACCTTGTACCGCTGAGAGTCAATGCATGTTCGGACGTAATGTTCCACCTCTGCTGCGATTCTTGGCCAGTAATATTTTTCTTTGACGCGTGTCAGTGTTTTTGTGAAACTGAGGTTGCCCGCAGTGCCTTCGTCATGGCAGGCTTATAAAATTTCGCTGCGGAGAGCTTCAGGAACTACCAACAGGTAGCTTCTGCCTGTTGATGAGAAATTTTTTTTGTACAGAATTCCGTCCCGTAAACAGAATGACGATAAGTTCTTCAAAAACACTCTTGATGCATTGGCGGCTCGTCCGTTCAAGAATGCTATAAGCGAGCTGAGCTCCAGATCATATTGTTGTTGCCGAGAAATGATAGCTGCATCAACAACTCCCAAAGAACCTGTCAATTCATCATCCTCTGTAGCCGATGATTCAATCGGTGACCTTGACAAACAGTCGGCATCTAAGTGTTGCCTTCCGGACTTGTAAATTATGGCCATGTCGTACCCTTGGAGCCGTAAGCTCCATCGTGGTAACGTCCAGATGGGTCTTTCATGTTGGTCAACCAACAAAGAGAGTGATGCTCACTTACAACTTGGAAAGCGCGGCCATATAAGTACGGGCGGAACTTCGCAACTGCCAAACGACAGCCAGACACTCCTCCGTTGTTGAGTAGTTGGACTCGGCGCGTGTCAACGTTCTGCTAGCGTAGGCAACTACTCTCTCCACACCATCTTGGCATTGGACAAGAACAGCACCTAGGCCCACATTGCTGGCGTCTGTATGGATGGCTGTTGGTGCATTCTCGTTGAAGTGAGCGAGTACGGGTGGAGTTGATAGACGCTTTCGCAGCTCGTTGAACGAAGCTTCTTGCTCTTCACCCCATACAAACGCAACGTCTTCCCTTGTAAGGCGGGTAAGTGGAGAGGCGATCTGTGCAAAGCCTGCTATAAATCGCCGGTAATAGGTGCAGAGATGCAAAAAACACCTGACCGCTTTCTTATCAACAGGCCTTGCGAACTTTGCAATGGCTGCAGTTTTATCTGGATCAGGCTTCACACCTTCACGACTGATTACGTGTTCCAGAAACTGGAGTTCTTCGAAGCCAAAGTGGCATTTTTCCAGTTTGAGTGCGAGTCCAGCGGACCATATAACTTGAAGGACTGACAGTATCCACGTTAGATGTTTGTCTTTACAAAGTGTCAGCGCAGGATATTTCCGTGCGCACTTCTCTTGCCAGGAGAATGCTGAAGCCGAAGTAGAAATGCTTTGCAAGCTGCGTGTGAAATTGATTGACTCGCTACAAGGCAAGCGTGTACAGAGGCGCATCACCATTACTTCAATTGATGACGGATTTCCTGTGATTTGTGAATAAATGTAAGTCTTCTGAAACTTCCCCCTCAAGTGTTAGCTCAATGCACATGCGCCAGTGCATTGAGAGCCCTCTGTTTATTAAGCTTTCAACTTCTTTTAATTTGAACAAATTTTCGGGCTTCTTTGAGTTCGAGTTATCGAGATTCGACTGTATATTTACTCGCATAATCCCCGCACTTCAATATTTTCCCCTTTGCATTGCCCCCAAAAAAATGCATTTTTTCCCACATGTATTTAATTATCGCACCCTTGAAAATTGCAGCAATAATTTCGTCTTTTACTTCCAGCCAACGATGATAGTACACGACAGCCTACCGGCATCTCTTAAGCATCCTGCATACTAACAACGCACGGAGCCTTAATCCAAGGCAAGCCACAAGTTGCAAGTACGCATGGAGGCATGTTGCGGCAAATTAGTGCCAGTCCATGTAGCGCACGTAGCATTTGTTCTGTTATGCTATGGATCGATACAGAAGCTACACGGTAGCTTCAAAGTTGAAAGTGATTGATCATGCACTAGAAAATGGCAACAGGGCTGCCAGAAGACACTTAAGATTTGACAAGTTTTTGCTTCCGCTACTGGCAACTGCAGCATGAACAGCTGAAAGCCACCAACAAGCCGCGATGGCCCTTCCGTTGGCCTAAGACTGGGAAATATTCACAGGTTGAGGAAACACTTCATTACATCAAGGGTCTCCACGTGGTGACCTTTGAGACATCCTGAGCTAGTGGCTTCAGTGTCTGCAACTAAATCTTTCCTTTGTGTTTAACCTATGGTTTTATTGTTAAGGTAAGTCTTGAATAGTACATCTCAAAGCTTTTGGTTAGTTGCTGGTGTGAGAGCCCTGATTTGAGGCCGCTTTAGGCAAAGGTGGGTTTTTTTTTTCTTGGCAGTTTGTGTGTTCTTGCGAAAAAATTAACCCGCTTAATTCTCACACCCCCCTACCCCCCCTTTTCACCAATTTTCGATGAAAAAAAATGCCAGGATTATGAGACTACATATGGTACTAGTCACGGAACCAAAATCATTGAAAATGACTGGTCATGTAAATACACTCGAGTAGCATCACATAACCATCCGATTCATGTGACCACCAATAATGTAACATCACATAGCTACTCATGTGACCAAAATCAATTAAATTCACGTATCCACTAGTAACGCAACTAAAATCATGTAACATAACAAAACAACTAGACACCAGAGACATCCCATAGCATCAGGAACAGCAGTCCTTCGACAGGTTCCCACAAAATCCCGCTAGTTCCTTGACTTACTGAACATTGCATAACACCTAGTCACAAGACATGTTTCTGCCAAAACCATGTAACGTGCATAGCGTGGAAAAGCAACCAAAAAGAAGAACTTAAACCTAGCAATACTTAGTGCTAGTAGCAAAAACTTAGCATCCTTAGCAAAACTTAGAAGAAGTTAGGTGGAACCTTACCTCTACTAACGATTGCAGCCCCACTAGTGCTAGCTGTGCACTTTTTTTTTAGTAGTGAAAGCAGTAACGATTCACTTACATGCAGGCATCAGTCGCATGATACAAGCTGCTAGACCAGCAAGAAAGCAAGAAAAAATATATAAGCAAGCGTACCTTTCCAGAAGTACGAATGCCTCGACCTCGTCTGAGGGTGCTTCTTGTAGCAAAACCAGGTGGCCTACATGCTGTTTCATTTACTCCTGCGGCATCAGCTGTTAAAAAATGGAGCATGTAAACGAGGTGCAGACATTTGTCAAGTCAGTCTACAGCACTGTAAAATTTGTGACCTGGGATGTCCCAATAGCTTACCAGAGCTTCCAGCAATACTTTTTTCATACAATAATAAATGCCAGGAGCAATTGTCACATTATTCAGGGTTTTCATTAAAATACACCAAATGAATTAGACTCCAGAGTACAAATTCCTCCAGATAGGTACAGATTGGTTTAAGGCAGTTAATGTCACAAAATGACAATGGCTACAAGGGCGGAGGGCTCCGGATAATTTGAACCAACTGGAGTTAACTTGCGATGGCATGACACAAAACACAGGCCTCTATTTTGCCCCCATATAAAGCAATGGCCATGCATCCAGCACCGAACCTGCATCTTTCAAGTCGGCAGCTGAGCACACTGTAAGAGAGCACGTGCACCCAGCCACTTTTTCCCTTTTACGGCAGCATCAGAGCCTAGCTGTGAGGACATGTCTGTCCCTTTGAGAAACGAGTCAATGAAGTCCCTTGCGAAGGGATGGGGCACCCCACGGGCGGCGCACGTAATTCCCCTTTATTAGCTCACAGAACAGGTTTCCCCACCCTCAGCGAAGGAACGAACCCTCGTCAGAGAGAGGGAAACCGGGACGGTGGAAAAAATGAGCGTGTCAATGACCGGATGCTCTCTCTGGCACTGGCAACCAAGCAGGAAGGACGAACCCGGAAATCCCTAAAGAGCCAAGGACGTCAACGACCGAGGTGCAAGCGTCTACCCTTTGTTATCTGCCTAGAGCGGAAGTCCCTCTAGGCGACGTTTACACATTATTGCTACCGTAGCAACAGAGTGTAGTTTTGTTGACCTAGCCTGTTGCCTTATTCGCCCAAACCCATGTAGGTGCGATGACTCGAGCTACAGAAAGGGGATGTTAATCATGTACGGTACGACTGTGCGGCTGGAACATTAGCTAGGCTTTTGCGTCAGCCGTACATAGGGCAGACCACGGTGGACACCGCACATCCGGCGCCCAACGTAACTAATTTGGCAATGCTGCTAATTTTGTGGACGCGAGCGACTACCGACACTCCTCCAAACGTAGGACAACAGGCATGTCAGAATTGCAAGATTTGTTAATGTTGTCTATCTCGCGTCGCAGAGTGACAATCCTCTGGCTAACGCAGGGGCACTGTTAGGACCTTCCAACAGTGCAAATTTGGTCGTTTCACGCGGCACGACCAGAATGTTGCAGACACCACGTTAGCAGAGACTAGGCCTATGACGGAGAGCGCCACGCCGGGCGCTTCGTCACCTCGCGACGCGAATAGAGAGGCGCCGCCACAAGTTGCTCGGACATGCGCTGCAACTGTAGCCAAGTCTTCGGGCAGCAATTTACCCTCGAGTGAGGTACTCTTGCAGAATGCACTGTCAGTTATGCAAAGCCTGGCGACTGCCCTGCAGAACACAGCGCAGGCCCCCGTGCAGAATGTACATCCACGTGTCAAGGTAGACATGCCTACCTACACTGGCTACCACTACTGCAAGAGCTCCAATGAGTATCTCAACCGGTTGCTCCACTATCAGCAGGCAACGGGGCTTTCTCACGCCGAACTTTTCAAGCGTGTGGTCCCAGTGTCGCTCAGAGACCAAGCGGCTCGATAGTTCCAACTGGCCATTGCGCCCGCACAATAGAAGAGTTTCGTAACAGCTTTCATGGCGAATTCCTTCTGGCTAATAATAAGTGGTGATTGCGGAGGGAGTTGGAGCTACACAACCAGCATCCGGACAAATCCTTGCTGGAGTATGTACGGGCGATGAACAAACTGTATTGTCTCGCTAACCCTCACACCACCAACACAGAAAAAGTCGAGCGCGTTACGTGACAGGGGCACCCGACTTTTGCAGCGCACTTCATGATATGCAAGTTCGCAGACCTATAAGAGCTTGCTCCAAAGCAAAGCGCACACAAGGGGACATCCTCGCAGCCAGAGCAAATCGCCCACCTCCACCCACAGCGCAGTCAATCGAGCCACGCTGTGCGTGGAATAGTGGTGTAGTAGCTTCAGAAGCGTTTAGGGATAACACTTCAGCATCGTTCACCGATGAGCACGTACCACGCGGTTGGGAGCTGTCAGACGGCGCTTTGGACCCCTATGCTTATGCGCTCCTTACAGCCCACGCCGCTCCTACACGTGCCACTCCACGGCAGGAGCTCACGATTCACACGAGGCCTAACGAGTGGCGCAACCCGGAGCGAGGACCACCGAACCGCGATGACTTACGATTGAGCCGGCATGGTTTCCGCGGTCCTTGCTATCAGTGTGCCGCGCCCAAGCACATCACCTGCGAATGCGATCGCACACCGGGTCAGGAGGAAACGCGCGGTTCGAAAAATGGACGGCGCCGCTAGTGAACCACATCGGACATCGCGCACTGATAAGTAATTCCACCAATGCATTCAGATCACTTGCACCCTGAGTGTCACACAGGTGATCCCGCAGACTCACCTGCATCGCTAATCGAGTTAACGACAGCTTGAAAAAAGTTCGTAGTACTTTTGGACACGAGGGCAAGTGCTTCTTTATTCAGCACCATCACCACGAGAACACTATCCGCTTGAGACAAAGCGCCGTCTTCCGCCTTACTATGGGCGCAGCACAATCGAGCGGCATGGCTAGGCTAATGATCTGCTAGGAAAGACGTGCGAGGCGACGTTTCGTGGATCTTTCTGGGCTGTCAATGTCTCTAATCCTGGGGCGAGACTTCAAGTCGGGTGTTGTCATTGACATTGCAAACGGCGGTTACCGAGAGCACAACGTATATTTGCTAAAGCTTTTCTCGAAGGCCCCCGCATTGACAAAGACATGTCAATCGCAGGGAGAGGCGCAAGTACGCGAGGAGGAAAGAGCGCCAAGAAAGCGAGTAACCACACCGCCGGAACAATGTGTTGCGCTACAGGGAAGATCACCCGCTTTTGATAGAGGCACAGAGCCTGCCAGAAGGAGAAAGAGTGCAGCTGTCGTCACTGTTGTACGAATAGGACGCAATGTTCCCTGATCGCCCCGGCCACACTGCGCTGGTCAAGCACAGAATTGACACGGGTGATGTACGACCCTGGAAGTGCAATCCCCGACCGATCAGCTTGGTTAAGCGGAAAGCACTTGATGCCGCATTGGACGAACTCATCGACACAAGCGTAGTTGAGAGGTCAAACAGCCCATGGTGTTTCCCGGAAGTTCTAAATTCAAAGAAAGATGATACATATTGCCTTTGTGTAGAGTACCGCAGGCTGAATGAGGTTAAAAACAAGGACGCGTACCCTCTTCCCTAACTTGTGTCTTTAGTATCCAACCTAGGCGGAGCGAAGTACTTCACTACGCTCCAATGCTAGCCGCGGATATCTCCAGGTTGAGATGGACGAGAAGGATAAAGAGAAGTCGGCTTTCATATGCCACAGAGGACTTTTCTAATTAAGGAGAATGCTGCTATGTATCAGAGGCTAATGGACCATGTTTTGAGAGATTCAAAGTGGCAGCACGCACTCGCTTATCTACACGACATAGTGGTTTACTCCAAAATGTTCGAGGAGCACTTTCGCCATTTGAGAGACGCTATAGAAAGGCTGAGGTCTGCGGGCATCACTCTGAACCCAAACAAAGCTCAGATAGCATCGACCCGAATAACATTATTGGGATTTACGCTTTACGAGGGTCGCATTTTGCTGGATAAGAGTAAGCTTGAAGCGATAGTCAACTATCCATCACTGAACAATATCGATGAGCTGAGGCACTTTCTGGGGATAGTGAACTTTTATCACTAGTTCATTCCAGACAGTGCGGCAGTGCAGGCACCTTTAATGAAGCTCTCGAGGAACCACGAGCATTGGGTTTGGAGCCAAAAGCAAGAGGCCGCACTGCGTTGCCTCACGAAGTTGTTGGCCAATACGGCTACCCGATTTAAACAGAGTTTGTGATTCACACAGACGCAAGCGACCTAGGCTTAGGAGAAATTCTGATTCAGGAGCATGGTGGTGCTCTTCGACCGATCGTGTTCGCAAGGCGTTCGTTGACGCCGGCAGAAACTACTCAGTTACCGAAAAAGAGTATCGCGATAGTTTTGGATCTCCATGAGTTTGACTTTTCATCAATGGAGTTGCGTTTCTGATTCAGATGGACCAGATGGCACTCACGTGAATGAGGCGCTTAAACGAACCAAGTAGCCGCCTGGCGCATTGCGCATTGCTGCAGCGTTAAGACTTCCCCGTTCGCTACCGCAAGGGTAAGAACAATGCCGCGGCCGACGCATCATCGTGTGCTCCAGTACGACACGAGGCAAGTCACACGACTACCTCGGAATGAACTGAGAGCAAGACACTCACAGTGATAGAAACAGCGGAGAAAAGGTTAGTTCAAGGCAAAAGCGTGAACCACGTAGAAGCTGTCGTTAGCGCAGATATTGTTTTCAGTAGGAGCTCAGCAAGAAGATCCATTTTGTCGAAAGGTGTTTGATGGGCTCCAGGAGCTGGGTGGCAGTGAGACCACCACACGCGTGGAGGCAGGTGGTATTGCTGTCGGTGTGGAGAGCTCGGCAACAGCTGGTAGTGCTGCGAGGGTGCTGGATTAATATCTGCTGGATTCTGACAGCGTCCTATTGAGGTATATCCCATGCGACGATGACACAAGCGAGTCATTCAAAGTCGTGATACCGCTCATATTGAGAGGAGCACTTCTTCGCTACTTTCATGACTCATGCATTGCTGGGCATGCGAGCGGCCCTAAGACTTACGCTAAGTTGTGTTGCCTCCCTACCTGGCCAGGCATGAAGCAGGATGTGATTCGCTATGCCCGTTCGTGTCGCGTGTGCCAAAGCGTCAAGCCACGAGACGGACGTCCGCCCTACATCACGCAACTGATTAGCAGCCAGGCTGTAGACATAAAAAGACTGAACGCTGACCAAGAGGGTGTCAAAAATGCAAAAAGAGACGCTTCGGCTTCCATACAAAAGCC